AGGTATTAAAAAAATTAGGCATTTCACAAATTTTTAATGAATGTATTATTTTATTGATACATTTGAAAGTTTCAGGTGAAAAATGCATCGGAGACCAAATATAAGAGAAACTGAAGATGATTTATTATCTCAACAAGAGGAATTTTTTAAAAGCAATAAAAAGGAAATACCTCCCAACTGTAATTTAAACAAAAGTGCTAATGAAACTTTTAATGAACAAAACATAAATATTAACATATTTGAAAAACAAACATGTACCATATCAGATAGAGCAAAGACTGAAAGCAATGAAGGGTTCCCAAAATTATTCACAGTAGATTTGTCTACTAAAAGAGAAAAAAACAAAAAACAAAGTTTGTTCGCTGCTGAGATGAACAAAAGAAAAGGTAAAACTGCAATTATAGTTGATAACATAAATGAAACATCTGATGAAACTTCTGGCAATATGTTACCTATTTGTTCTCAAAATTTAAATAAATTAAATGAGGAAATTAATGAAGCTAATCTTGAAATATTGAGCAAAATGACTGAAAAAGAAATTTTGCAAGAACAGGAAAAATTGTTAAATACAATTGATAAAAAAACAATTGATTTTTTAAAAAATAAAAAGCTGAAAACCAATCAGGAACCCTCCAAGGATTTTAGTATTGATAGTACTTGTAAAAATTTAGACAATAAAGATGATATTAAAAAAGAAGTCGAAAAACTTATGGATATGAAGTGGACAAATTTAGATTTACTCGAACCTGAAAAGTTGGAATGGATTGGCGATATACCTGATAAAAAAGCATTAGATTCAAATCAGCCATATAGTGCTAGATTTGATTTTACAGGAGAACTTCAACCTTACACTACAACAGTTGATGTTCGAAGTTCTCTTTACCATCATGGAGACGAACCAGAGCGTCCTGGTTACACTATTCAAGAACTATACCAGTTGTCTAGAAGTCAAATTTTGCAACAAAGAATTATAGCATTGAATACACTTGGTAATATCATAAGGAAAACAAAATTGGGATATTACGATAAATGTTTTGATGGACAATTGCTCAACAAATTGGTTGAATCTGATTTATTCTTTTTATTGAGATTTTCTATCGATGACAACACTTTAATTTCATCTGCTGTTTATTGTCTTTATTATTTAATATGCAATGAACCGGATGAATACAGTTTAGACAAGCTCCTAGGGGTGACTAACAAAGATATTCAACCGATTCTCAGTAATGTTGTAAATAAAAATGATGATAAAGAAGAAGACATGAAAGATTACATTCTCATTAGCTGTGATTTGATTAAAGGAATTCTGAGAACAGATCTAATTCAAAGATTATCATATATTTTAAATAATTTTAAATTAACTCGAGAAACAATTTGTAAAATTTTCAGTTGTTTGATTAGAATAGCGAGACATTCTTTAGAAGCATCAGAAAAAATTTTTCAAAATGACAACCTAATGAAAATGGTATTCAAACACATAAACTGTGATAAACCTGTTTATGAAGGAGTCAAACTTTTAAGGATTTTATCATCCCAATCTGATAACATTGTGAAAAGTCTTGTTCAAAATTACAACGTTAAAACTCTACTAAATTTTTTAGAACTTGATGAAAACCATGATATTTCAAAAAAAGAATTTTATTTACTCAAACTTGAAATATTATATTTTTACAAAACTCTTTTAAATCAAAGGCTTTTTATTGATGAGTTTAAGTCTTGGTGTCCCTCCGTGATAAGATTATTGTTATTTTACGTTCAAAAAGTTGATGTTAATGTCGATAACGATTTTGATTTTGAATTATTTTCAGGTATCACATCATTAATAACAATATGTACAAAAAGAAATATTTTACACGATTCTAATATTTTGTCAATGTTAGAAATTTGTTTGGAAAAATGGCTCACTCAATTAATACAAAGCAATCAATATAACTTTGCCATTTGCAAAGCCATCGGTTCAATATTTAGATTTTTTAATTCTTATTCAAAAATTTTTGGATTTGGAAGGATAAATGGAGAATTTATAAAAAAAATCAATTTATGTTTAACTTTACTTTTCGAATCTTCCGTTTTTAGGGAAATGTGCATCGCTTTGAGTTCATTTTCGTACATATTGAATTCTTCTCTTGTGACTCGCGATCCCGAAAATCTTCCTTCACTTTGTTCGGTTTATTACGGAGGTAGAGAGTATTTGAAAATGGTACAAAATCATTCTTCTCTTCCATTTTTATTAAATTTATCCAAATATTTATTAAATTGTTTTTATAATTTCCCTGATTTTTCAGAGCTCGTAAAAAAATTATTAAACGATGCCAATATTCAAAATTATTTGCAGAAAATAAGCGAATGCAGAGAAATTCATTACAGCTGGTTCATGAGATACGAAACAATTTTTTTGTCCGCCATGATGGAATTAATGTCTTTGGTTAAACATGATAATTTTTGTTATTTAGGTTTTCATTTAATTCCTCTACTGAGGGTAGATGAAGAAAAAAGGTTTGAAAAGATCATTAAAATAATATTAAAATCGGAAAAATGGAACAGGATGAATGACGATGCGTTCACAAACGATTTGATTAACGTCTACTCCGAATTCCTTATTCGAAAAAATAAATTTTACTACAAAAACGATTTAATACCTAAAGAATGGATGTATAAAGTTTTGATTAAATTACACGAAAAGGACAATGCTGTTGCTGTTGCTAAAGTATTAAAATTTATATCGAACATTCTAGATGAAATGCCGATGGTACTTAAAAGAGTTTCTTTCACTTTACGATATTATTATTTATGTTACGTATTTCTAAATGATTCTTACGTGTTTAATACGGAAATACAATTTCTGTTGGAAAAATTATTTGATGACGTAATAAAAAATAAAAATAAGGTAGATTTAAATATGGAGATTAAGGGAAGTAAATCTTTTTACGATTTATTCACGGAATTAATTATTCAATATGCTGGAGTATCATACGGTTTACCCATATTTGCTAAATTTATCATGTTCCCTCTACAAAATACACAAAATGTTTCGTTTAGAAAATTACTCTGGTTCGAGTATTTGCACGTGCTAAGAGTGGTAACTCTTCCATATCCAATGGATAATTTTATCGATATAAAAGCCTTCCTGGAGCCTCTGGAAACGGATGAAAGTTTACTTGTGGCTTATTTGACTTCCATTTCGAGCAATGTTATAACAAAATTGAGAAATCCATTCGTTTATTACATAGCCGTTGGAAACGTTAATAAATATTTAAATTCTAAAAATGAAGATGAAAAATTATTAAATTGTTTAAGGAAAAAAATTCAAGTTTTAAATAATAATGAGGAAGTAAAAAAAGATGTTTTATCATTTAAATTGTGAAATTATTATATGTGATTAATTTTTTTTTATTTTTGTAATTATTATATTTAATTTTAATGATTTCAGGAAAAGTTTTAGAATTTAATTTATTATATTTGACAAATTTCAAATTATTGATAGAATTATTGATTTACAAAAGAAAAAAAAATTTATATAAACGAAGAGAAATAAATAAAATTGAAAAAAGTTATTTTCTAAATTGAAAACGGTTAGTAAACATAAAAAAAAATTTTATTTATTTATTTATTTATTTTTTTTCCCATTATATAAATAGATGAAATCGTCAAATAAAAATTTTAGTTTTATTTGTTGGAAAAATATAAAATTTAATATGGATTTATTTGTACCACTTCGATCAAGCATTTATTTAAGTCAAATATTTTGTATTATTTCATTTGAAATAAAAAAAAATAATAAAAAAAAAATAATTTTTTTACAAATTCCAGAACGATTGAAAAAATCAAGAATTAATTTTGGTTTCGTTATTATTTTTCATTCACTTTTAGTGATTTTTCAAGGGAATGAAATTATTTTATCAAAAGATGATTCATGTGTTAAAATTGTGAGATTTGTGAATTTGGCCGCATTTACAGGAGGAATAGCAACAATGTTTTTAACAATTATTATCAAAGAAAAAATTATTTGTAAAGGATTAAACGAGATAACACAATTATATTTAATATATGGTTCTAAAGTGCATCATGATCAATTTAAGTTGAAAAAATATTTTTTATTATTAACAGGAACGATTTTTAATTATTTAGCTACCGTTTTTCCATTATTACTCATGGCGTTATACGCTCAAAAAACCAAAACCCCTAAAGTAATAACTTATGCTTATTATGGTTATTCAATGTGGTTGGAAAATGTTTTTGTTTATCGTTTTGTAACCCTTATTGGTTTTGTTGGGGATGTTTATGCCAGCGTCACTCGATATCCCATCGATATTAATATGCCTAAATATCAAATTTATAAAGAATTAAAAAATAACAGATTGAGAGAAAAAATTATAAAAGATTTTATTGATGTTATTTTAAATGTTTATAAATATGCATTTTTTTTTTGGGTTTGTTGGTCTTTTACCATGGTCCTTCAATTTGTATTAAAAGTTAATTGGCGTTTGAGAATTTTCGGTTGGTGTTTTTTTATTTCATTAAGAATTATTATTATTATTTATTCTTGCACCACCATCAAAACCGAGGTATTTTTTTTTCTTCTTTTACAACTTGCCTTTTTTGGTATTAATTTTTTAAATTTACTTTACTTTAATTTTAGGCTCAAAAAACTGCTGAACATTTACATCATTTATTTATTGAAATTGATGATCCTAAAATTACAAATGAAGTGAGTAAATATATATATATAATTATAAAATTACTAATTTATAATAATAATAATAATAATTATTTAAAATAATAAACTTTTAGCTGGAAATTTATTCATATCAATTGCTACACCTCAAACCTGATTTTAACGCTGTCGGATTTTTCAGTTTAGATTATCCATTGTTTCATTCGGTGAGTAATTAACCGAATTATTTAAATTTTATTTTAATATACAAATTTATCAAAACCTGTTTTTTATTAACTTGTTGCAGATGGTTGCAGCTGTAGCTACTTACATTGTTATTTTAATGCAATTAAAAAGTGGTCAAAGTTTATAATGAAAAGCATTCAATACTTAGAATGAATTAAATGGCTAATGTGTCTCTGGAAAACTGTTATTTTTAAAAATATTGTCAAATTTTTAACTTTTCGGATTTAAATTCATGGAGGATATGATAAGTCACCACAGTTGAAAAATTAAAATTTTTTTCCTTGTATTTTAAATAATTTTTTGAAATTTTTAACGGCCCACAAAAAAATTTAGCAACACCGGACGTAATTGACAAATGAACTCTATGATGCTTTGTTGCCAATTTTTTTATAATTTACATTTCACTTTTTCGTAAAGTAAATTTCAGTTAAATTTTTTGCATTATTTCGCATAAATTTTATAATATTTTTCAAATTTTTAAAATTTATTAAAAATTTTATTTAGAAAATAATTTTTGTGAGTATTGTTTTATGTCCTAATCAATTTGTGTTACTTTATTTCCTTTTATTAAAATGTTTTGATTTTATTTCATTTAAAATGTGTTTAATATGTTGCTTTATTTCAATTCTAAATATTGTTTTTTTTTTCTTTTTTTTTTTAGTTACGGAAATTAAATTTAATATAGTTCATTTACACTTTATTAATTGCGATTCTCAATGACAGTATGATAGCTCCTTTGGTATCTGATTAGAAAATAAAAAAGGAAAAATTAACATTGCTGCACTTGGAGGTATTATTATTATTTGAATTGTTTTCAATTTACATATATAATTGTATATATATCTTATCATGGTCTGATTAAAAATGAAAAATACATTGTTTTATTTAATTTATTAAAATAAATAGTTGTTCATAAGAGGTTTTGACTTAATTTAATACTTAATAATAAACTGGTTGAAATTAAAGGAACTCTTTTGGGGTTGCAATGGATGAAGAGAGCAGCTGCGAATCTGATTTAACTGAAAGTTGGTCTGTAATTGATATTAATGTTAACAAGGAATCCATATTTTTGAAATCTGAAAGTTTAGAAGATTGCTCTTTTGTACAAAATTTAAATCAAAAATCATATGATCTATTAAAAAAAAATTTTGGCAAAGATTCAGAACATCTTGCTACTACTATTTGTAATGACATTAAAATTTCACCTTTAAATGATGGCAATCGCTCTGTTAGTGAGGATTCTTTTGATGATGACTCAATTGAAGTAATAAGTGATAATGATAGTGATAATGGTATGTACCATCAAAATTCAGTAAAAAAAAAAAAAAAAAAACACTAAAAAAATTATAAACAAAACTAATTTTTACTTTCGTATACATTTTTTTTCTCCGATAAGTTTTCAATAATTTATTAACAAAATTTTTTATAGATATTGAAAATTGTATTTTATTGTTTGCATATGAGGTTGATTTTGATGGTCTTACTTATTTATCTGATGAAAAATTAATGTTAACAGGTTCTATAAAAGACATTTCAAATTCTCTCACCATACCACAAATAGAAGGTTATAAGAATTTTTCAAATAGGTAAAATTTATTTAATAAATTACACTTATTAGTTCAAAAAATAATTTTATAGTATTATTTAATAATTTTTTTTTAACTAACCATCTTATTGAAAGATAAATTTTCTGTTTAGTGATCTACCATTTTCAAGTAATGACACTTCTCAGAAATGTTCTCTCAACGAATTCATTTATGAAAATAATTTAGAATTGGAGGTTTATGGAAGAAGTTATAGTAGGTCATCTACATGGCATCAAATAAATCGTTTTTTATACAGAACGCTCAATTTATCAGTAAATGTTTGTTATGCAGCAGTAATTTGCTTTTTTCTTGCTTATTTTTTGAGTAAGTTTCATTGTTAACTTTTTCAAAAACTTATTTAAAATAGCAATTAAAGCCTGAGGATTTAATTTAAAAAAAAAAAAAAAAACCAACACTTTATTTCTTTTGTCTTAGGTTATAACTACAATGAAAAATCTACAGATAGTTTAATTGAAACTGTTAAAAGGTTAAAATTGGAAAATCTTCAACTTAAACATTGTTTATTGGACGTTAAAAAAGGTAAACTTAAATAAATTATAAATAAAAATCTCTTATAAACTTAATATTTTTTATTGAGCAACTTGTTTAAGAGTTTCAATGGATTAAATTGATAAAAATTTTATTTAAATCCATATTTTATTCATTCTATTCAGGATTAATAACGCAGAAATTAAATTTTGATTATTTTCCAATGGCAAACAATTATAAAAATAATTTTTGCGTTGAAAATTTCAAATTTGACGGTTTTTATAAAAAAGATTTTGATTTTTACGAAACGAATTCGCGAGGGCTAATCAAAAGTCTTTTAATTAAATCAAAATTCAATTTGTCATTTGATAATTTGACAAATTATGATTACAAAATGGTTCAGAAAAATTTTTTAAATGAAAAAATTCACAATTTTATTTATAATCAATTGAAAGAGAAAACGAAATTTTGGCGAAATGATTTTTTTATAAAACCGCAATCATTTTCTCAACATCGCATGGATGCTTTATTTAAAAAATTTAAAGATTTTAAAAATCAACTGAAAAAAAAATTAGAAAAAATTATTTTCGAAAATTTTATTTCTTTCAAGAAGGCGAACAGTAAAACGGATAAATATAAAATTGTTGTTAAACCAAATTTTCAATTTGATTGTAAATTAACACCGAAAAAAGTTAAAAATTCAAAAATAAAAGAATCAGTTTTGATGTATAAATATCCCCAGCCGAAAGAATATTACATGAATGAAAATAAAACCGCGTATAAAGATTTATTATATAACGAAATATTTATTGGTAAATTTGAGAAAATGGATAATAAAAAAACAAATATCGATAATAATTTATTTCTCGTTGTAGGCACAAATAAATTAGGACCCTTTTTTCAAGGGCTCAAAGGAGGAAAAGAAAATAATAATAATAATACGAAACGTAAAGTGAGTGTTAAAAAAAAAAAAATTAAATCGAAAGATGTTAAAGAAAATATAAAAAGTTTAGAAACGATCAATAAAAATGAAACTATTTTCAATTGGAAAAAACGTAAAGGATTTAAATATAATCAATGTTCTGTTGAAAATTGGGTATTTAAAAGAGCACACGGACGAAAACTTTCTAGAAGGTATCAAGGAGTTAGTGATTGGTTATTTAATAGAGCAAATGGACGAAAACTTTCTAGAAGGGATCAAGGAGTTAGTGATTGGTTATTTAATAGAGCAAAAGCAAGAAACACTCTACGGAAAAACGATAAAGAAAATGAGAAAATTTTGAGAAATAATCAAAATTCATTTAAAAAAAAAAAAATAAAATCAAATTAGATATTATATATATAACAAATATTAAAACCAATTTTTAAGAGATTAATTACACAAATATGTTAAAAAAAAAAAACCAAGTCAAATTTTATATATTTTATTATAATTAAATTTATTTTACATTGAAAAAATAAAAACAAAAATATTTTTGTAAATATATATAAATATTTTATGCATTAAAAAAAAAAAAATTTTATGTTGTTATTGTTTTATTATTTTATTTTTAAGAAAATCAATGGAAAATTCCAGGTTTGATAAAACATAATTTATGTCAACATAAAATAAATTTAATTAAATTAATTATGATATTCTAATTATGATAATGCAATACGTATTTGATTTGTTGTTTTTAAAGAATTGTAATTTTACGATTATCATAGATGATATGATGTCATAGAGTAAGAAAACAAAAGTAGGTCAAATCGTGTTTGGAAGACATATACTGTGGATTTACTACAAAATAAAATTATAAAAATGGTTTATAATTATTTGTAAAGGAGGTGCCTTAAATCAACAAATAATCAGTTGGAAAAAGTAAATTAAAATTCTCGGAAAAATTACGTCGTAGATATTTATTACAGTTGGAATTATTATTATTATTAAAAATTAGTCATTTGTTGACTTAACGCGTCAATTTAGCGGTAAAAATAAAATTTTTATTTTTATAATAAAAAAAAAAAAATAGATAACAATAAAATTCAAATAAAAGTAAGTCAAGAGTGATGTCATAGATAAAAAAAACATTCGATAAGGTGTATTTAACATATTTTAATAAATTTAATTCGACCCCTTATCTGTCATTTTTGCTTGTACAAAAAAAAAAAAAAATTTGTTTATTTATTGCTAAAAGTTGCGCAATAAGAAAAGAATATTTTAATATTTTTTTTGGGAGGGAAAAAAAAAAAAAAAAATGGATTTCACTGAAAGGTAAATTTTTATTACTATTTATATATATTCTTTCAATTTTTTGTAATTTTGTACTAAATTAATATTTATTTTCATTGATTAATTTATTTGATTAGATCGCCAAATTTAATGGATTTTAAAACAGACACTATTGGAAAATCTTATTGTAAATTAAACAAGTTTCTAATTGGAAAATCAGTTTCTGATTTTTACAATGCTGAAGAATTTATTTCTTCATTTAATGAATCGTCAAAATTTGAAAATAGTTTACAGTCGATTATAATTAATTCACTTCACTTAACAAGTAAAGTTGAGGAAATACTTTTGAGTCAAAATAATGATAATATTAAGCAAGTTTTCAAATGTGATTGGTGAGTATTAATGTAAAGAATAATATATTTAATAATTTAAAAACAAATTTTAAAATAATTTTTTCCCACCTATAGGTTTTTTAAAGAGTCTTTAAAACCAGATGAATTTTGTACAAAAATTTTTCCTAATGTTTCTGCAAGTTTAAGATGTAAATTATTTACAAAATTGTCCAAAGTCATCGCCAATGGTAAAGATGCCGAAGTATTAATGCAGTTCATTCAAAAAAATTATTCAAAAAGTTCTGGAGAAATATTTTTACCTAAATGTGATGTCAATTTTATCAAAAATTACTTTTCGAATGAAAAACCTTTTTTACAACATGTTAAAGCTGATAAAATTTGGTTGAATATTAGCAGAAGGTACATTATTATATTTTTTTTTTGGGGTTAAAGATAAGTATTATTTTGTATTTAACCTTTTTATTTTCTTATAGGCATCCATCACTTTTCTTAGAAATTTTATCAAATTATTTCGATTCATCAAATCCGGAATATAAAAATTATTTTCAACACAACAAAGCTTTATTATTTCTGGCTGCAAATCATTCAGATTTGTTTATACCATTTTATATTAAATATTATTCAAAACTTCTGTACCTTAATTTTGGTATTAAATTAACTCGGTAAGTGTTTATCTTTTTGTAAAATAAAAAA